TTGTAGCAGGGTTGCAGATCTCAAGCACTTAGTTTTGTCTCTTAGGCATCCTCTCCCCCGCCCCTCGGGTGAGATTCGAGCTCTGCTGTGCCCCTGCTCTGCCTTGCTAGTGTTTAAAAACGTGCTGAAAACTCAAGTGTCTCTTGGTGTTGGTGTTAATGGAGTTTGCTTCCAGGTTTTGAAAGGGTAAAACACAAACCTAATATTAAGCTTATTTCTTTGTAGAACGCAGCACTTTCGGGTGTGACCACCCCCCATCACTTTGTAGGTGTTGAAATTTGTTTTGTAAAACTTTCTTGAGTTACCTGAGGTGTCTTGGCATACTGCCCTGAAATACACTCCTCCAAAACCCTGGACTATGTTTCATGTGATACAACTCAGACCTCTAGGATTTGCCAGACACATTTCTTAAAAAGACCTTATGCCTGTGGTTTTTGTTCTTGCTTTTTAAATCTACTTTTTGCGGTGGTTGTAGGTTAAATTAAAAGTTTTTAAGGTGTGTGTTTGTTTGTTTTTTAACTCCAGCTATTAGTCTCTTCTTGTTTAAACGTAAGATTTTTTATAGGTAACATGTTAAATACCTAGCCTCAGTTCAGGTGAGAGCTAGCTACCACAACTACTTTAAAAGTGAATTTAAGTTGGTTGTGTTTCCTAACTTTGCCACAGAGTCTTGTAGCTGTATTTTTTTGAACGTTGCGTTTCAATGTACTGTCATTGTGCTACGATGTGTTTCGCTTTCTTATGAACCTGGAAGTAGTAATTATATGAGTGTGGAAATAAAACAGGTTTAATTCCATTTCTGTCAATCTTCAGCAACCTAGATGGAATCTCACTTTCACAAATAGTAACAACTCTGTGTTGTTTGAAAAACTCCCAACTTCTGGTACTAGATTTCTTGTTCAGTGTACAAGGAATCAGAGACAACTTTAGTCACCACTCTGTCTGCATTTCTGTCAATTTCCTGTTTGCAGGAAACATTTGAAAACTTGCCGAGGAAGTTTATTCTTCATAAGCTTATTTGAAGCTTATTCTTTGAAATAACAGTGTGTTCTGTGACCAAATCATGTGAACTGCCCCTTTGGTGCGGAAATTAAGATTCACATTCCATATCCAGAAGAACCATAAAAGATTTGTCTGGTTCTTCTTTCTCTGTGTAATCTTGCTTCCAAGGAGACAGGCAGATGGCCTCTTTTGAAATATCCTAGAGCTTTTCAAATGGAGGGTGAAACCAAGCTCAGTGTTTGTGGAGTGGAGGTGCTGTATGGTGACAAAAAGCAGAAAGCCCTAAATGATAGTGTTAGGTAAACTTATTTTGAGGTTAAGGCTAGCTGCATCTTGGGGAGGTACAGGTGGAATGCACTGTATGCAAGAACCTTAATACTTCCTGAAGCGCTTGAAGTTTCTAAATGGCTTGAAAATGCTTGAAGAATATTAGTCATTTCATTTGGAAGAAAAAAATTGCATCCTTTTCATCAAGCTCAAATAATACATAATAAATTCTAAGCAGTCATCAATGCCAGCAGTAGGGATTACAAGGTAGCAAAGTCTTCAGTAAAATCAGCACTGTTTTTTAAACATGTTCTCAAGTCTTTGGGTATCCTCTGTGTCTAATATGATTAAGTCAGGTTTCAGTTTGCAAACAAACTTTTAAGCCTTTACATTTCATTTAGGCTTGTCTTGTGCTGTGTTTGGAGGTGGTTAGGAGTTTCAGAAATGGCATGGGTTTGTGTTTGAATTGTGAGAGAAGCCACTGCTAACTTAGTTTTCTTTGCTTGCAGAAGCCATTCATGTCATTGTGCTTTACAGCCGAAGCGTTGAAGAGCTTCTGAAACGCAAAAAAGTCTATCGAGAAATAATTTTTAAGTATTTGGCAGCACAAGGAATTGCAGTGCCTCCTTCCTGTGAGAAACATGTACTCATTGATCGTGTAAAGCAGTACTGGAGCGTGCAGTTGTCAACACATGCCTCAGCATCAGGGGAGAGAAAAACACAAGCAGAGGTGAGTGCTGCTCTCTGAAAGACCTGAGGATGCTTAGCATTGCTTTTGCAGGATAACCAGTGTAAATGTTAAAATGTTTATCCAAAATGTGGCTCTTCACCTGGATTTAGGAAGGTACTGAATCTCTTTACTCTTGGTTTATTTGGTTTTGGTTGTTTTCTTGTTTTAATTACATCATTTAATGGTGTCTGTGCTAAGGTGTCACTTGCAGAGCAGTCTTCTGCTCTGTCTTGCAAAGTATATTAGTGCATTTGAATTCTAATGTGTGGGTTTTTCTCCATGCTTTTAATGTTTAAGTTGTACTGTAAGCTAAAATATAGGGTATTCACACATAATTCTGCGGATTCAAGGACAACTGAAAACAGTGTTAAAGATGCAGAAACCTGTGTAGCCCCTTGTCGTTATCTTAATGTGGTTGATCATCTTAAAACTTTTGGTGTAGATCCAGGGTTTCCAGTCATCCTCCAACTATGCCAGCCTCTAACAATACCATTGGTAGGGCACTTCCCAGAGCAGTGCAAAGAGCTTCTGTTGATGGTAGATCATAGGGCAAAAACATCTGACAGGCTATGGACTAAAATGTTGCAGGGGAGGAGGAGAATGGGGGGAAAACTGGCATTTTGTAGGTGGCCTTGATCTACTTCTAGAGACAGCGTAGTCAAAGTAGCACTGTCTGAAGCTGTTTTCCTTCTTACCTCATGTAGTTAGTGTGCAGAATGGATTTTAGTGAGTTTTTATATCTTTGAAATGTAAAGTTTGTAGTACTGCCAGGTCCATGTTATTTTTTCCCCTTGATATTAGAAATACTTAATACAGTGCAACTGTTATTTTTTTTTTTTTTTTTTTTTTAGCAACTACAAGTTATTTGGAAGTTCAGAATTATGATCCTTAGCAAATCCTTGTGGTGTAATTAACTTCCAACGTTTTATTTGTCTTGGATCTTCACCATGTAGTTCTAAATAACCACCTTGCTCTTTTGAGTGTTATACTTCAGCGACCTAATGGGCAACAGCCCCACCAGCTGGACTGTTAGAGCTCTGTAGCTGTCGATAACCCATTGCAATAAGCTTTCTCTCAGGGATTACCTGCTGAGAATTATGATGTAGCTGAGAATTGTTTTCAAAACAACTTTTCGTTTGCATACTTTGGAAATGATAAAAAAAAATGCTATTCTTGCAAGAGCACTTCCCAAGTATTACCCCATAGCAAAGTTTAGGTTTAAAGGTAAGTAAATTAAATTCTCCAGAATACTTAAAACACATTCACAGAGAATGAGAAATTCAGCTGGTTTACTTATCACAAACATTCTTTGCCTTTTCTTAATCCTAATTCCTGTGGCCCTCACCATTTTGAAGAAATGGGTATCACAAACCTACATAACAGAATTAGAAATAAATTACAGTTTATTGTGAAATAAATACAGCATTTCTATACAGAGGTCTCCAAACTTTCCATACTTAATTATTTAATTCTTACTTTAAGCATATTCATTTTAATACTTTCTAGACTTCAGTGTTAGCAAACTTGACATTTGATTTACTTCTAACAAGTAAATCAATTTGCCATCAAGTTGCAAATACTGAGAAGCCCAACAAAGTAACTGTACATTTAGTTCTTGTTCAAAAAAACACATGGCCTTGCAGTTGGTGGTCATGTATCTTTACATTGGAAAGTTTGGATTATTTTTCTGAAGTAAAAGTCTTAGCTATTGTAGGGGAAAGCAGAGGATAAACAAACTACATATGTACACATTACATAGGCTCACAGGACTGTTACTTGAGCATCCAGTTTTTGCCTTTTACAGTGCTGCTTTCTTTAGGAAGAAGTGTCCTCTAAACCAAATGGGGGTTTTACTATTAGCTTAAAAACCTTAAATATCTAATTGCTAGGCACCTTGTTTCCTAAATATTTATGCTTAACTTTTGCCTTTCTTTTACACATAGTTATAGTCACACCAAAAATTCAACTGCAGGGAATATATTTTTCTTTCTTTTTTTGTCTTAACATATAATAGTGTCTAAAAAATTACTGCATACTTTTTAGAGTATGTATCTGCTGATACAACACTTGGAGTGGTTTGTCACCCTCTTCTGGTAAGTTTTTAACTATATGACCATTGGTTCCGCACCGGTACTTGCTTTTACCACTTACTGTGAATTTGATTTCAAAACTTTTTACACCCACCACTCTCTTGTCAGTCTCAGCAACCCACTGTTAAGTATTCTTTTGAAGTATTTATTATCCCTCTGCATCTTAGGTATATATTAGTATGTGTGTGTGTCATTTTCTGTAAAATAAGGGAAAAAAGGGCACAACTTGTCCGTGACCAATGGTGAACTAGTAGAAGATGTGTTTTGAGTAGTATCGTGCTTCTTTTCACTGGCCTATTTTTCTCAGAGGCTTCTAGACAAGACAAGAACTTTGACTGAGCCTTTTCAAGTTATTCTTTGAAGGTCTGGCTGTCTGCTAGGATGTTTACTTTTCTCACTACTTGAAAATACTTTCTCAACAGATTCAGTGTTTAACAAAGGATTTTATGACAGTCTGAAGGATGGGTTTTCTGACAGGCTGAAGGGAGGTGCCTTTATTCCCAGAGTTAGCCTGTGCTGCTCTGTGAAAATCCTGCAGCCCTTCTATCCCAATGTCATATTGTCTCAGTCTGTACAACAAGTGATCAGTTGTACAATTAGAAAAGTAACTGCGATACCTCATGAGTTCTGTCTATTTTGGAGCAGCAAACGTAACGTGAGTTACGATTTTCTTTGGTTTGGGCTCTTTTCCTGTTAGAAATACGATAAAGACTACAAATGCCACTCACGAATGTGACCAAGCATCTTTTGGATGATTTTTGGCAGTCTTGCTGCTGAACAGGGTTAAATTCAGGCACATGATCTGGTGGAGAAGAAAATCTGCAATACATTAATTCTTTGACTTTCAGGATTTCCTGGATTAGGTGTGCATTTTGTTAGCCTGTTCCACTGACGTGGGTAAAATACCCCCATAAATCAGAAGTATTGGGTCAGCTTCAGGTATTTGGATGTGCATATTCAAAAGGGGACTTCCCAATCAGTACTATTTTCATCAGCTATATGAAGATGCCAAAACCAACACAATTTACCTAATTAAAAGGTACCAAAAAGAAGATATTTAAGGCAATACGGAATAAGAAAAATATGACAACATAAATATTTATTGATAGACACACTTTAGTAAATTGACATGCCTTAATATGAGATTAGCCTTTCAGGTTGGGTCTGTATCCTTGTTTTTCTGTAGCCTTCCTTTGAAAACATAAAGGCCAGTGAAAAGTTACTAACCCAGGCACTTCTTACTCAGCAGAAATTTTGTCTGTCAGTGTGAGAATCCTGGTCTCATGGAAGTTGTTCAGAAATCCTTCCTCTGCCTTTTTACAGCAGAACCAGGATTTTCCCCATTGTTTATAAATTGTAGACTAAGATAAAGTGAAGGACTATGCTAACTGTAATTCAGAGAACCTGCCCTGATTGTCTAGACAAGATGATTATGATCTTAAAATTAAGTAAGATTTTACTTTGTTGTTTTTCTTCAAGCACTCTGTCTCAGAACACCTGAAGGAGACACGAAGTCTTAGAATGTTAAAAATAATTATTTACATTATTTTATGTTGTTCTAAGTAGTAATCTCACATGTTAAAGCCGAATAGTTCTAAGAAAAAAAAATATGCTTGATTGCAGAGTCATGGAGACAGCCAAAAGTCACTGCAAGATGATATTCATTATCTAGGAGAAGAATTCTGTCAGTGGTTCTTTGAACTCCTGAATTCTCAACATCCCTTGGGAGTAAAATCTGAAGAAACGTGGGGACCACAGCATTTTTGGGATGATGCCAAAATGAAGTTCTCCTACAACACATTAGAAAAAAACATGGAAGAATATGTTGGTGCAGAAATGGTGAGCCTTCGTCTGCTCTCCTTGGTTAAAGAAGAATATCTTCTGTTCAACCCTAACTTGCATGCCAGCGGACTGAAATGTGCCATGTCTCCGCATGGGTTGGTGCTGGTGGCAGTGGCTGGCACAGTACATAGAGGCAACTCTTGTTTGGGTATCTTTGAACAAATTTTTGGACTCATTAGCTGCCCTGTTAGGGAGAATACCTGGAAAATAAAAGTTATGAGTCTTAAAATAGTTGGACAGAATGCTCTGGAGCCTGGGATGCAAATTGAAAAACCCACCATAAAATATGAGTCGAACCAACTGCGAGAGCTGTATGATGGGAAAGAACTGATGGTGTTTGAACCTCAGAAATTCTGAGCAATTTTTCCTCAGCTGAGCGACTAGGTGAGGGAGGAGTGGTTTCAGCCATGTGATGCTGTCTCTTTTTTGAGTCCAATTTGCTGGATGACAAACTGAGATACGGTCTAAAGTATTAATGCAGGTGATGCTTCGGGGCACCTTTCCAAGAGCTAACAGATACTGCAGAGTATTACTTTGAATTTTGTTCTGCAGTTAGAACGGAGTTTGATTATTCCTGGTTACAGAACATAGTTACATTTAAATATGGGTTGGCAGCAGTATGTAATGAACTAGGTGAACTGGGGTTCACAAGGTGCAAGCTGATTCTTTTCAGGCCACCAGTTTAAAACTCTTAACCTGAATTGTAACAGGACGTCATTGTGTCTGGCTTTTTGAAATTGGGATTGGTGAATGTCTAAATGGACATCTGAGTCCCAAGAAATCCATGTGCTCTTCAGGAGTTTTTGTTGAGAACAGACAAAATAGTGTGAATGGAGATTGCTGCCATTTGTGTTCTAAATGTGGTTCTGTCACAGAAAAACAGAATTAGCTTAATGGGATACTGCAGGGAAAGCTGGTTTTTTTGTTTGATTCTTTGCATTAACAGCTTCCTTTCCTTTTACCTTATGGTTCCAACTTTGTAATGAATACAGACAAACTCTGGTATTCTGTCTGTGACCCCAAGCAGACAAACTTGAGAGGGTTGTCACTGCATCCATTTCTAGCACTGATTTGCTTGGATCAAGTAGTTGCTTTCATGACTTAAAGCAGCACTGTATGAACCAAATGTGTTGATAATTATTTTGTATATGCTTACCACAAAGTTTTTAATATAATAGCTGTGATTTTTGTATATTTTCTCAAAATAAGAGTTTTTTTTGCTCAGAGCTGCTTTATTACATTGACTAGAGGTCAGTTTGTTAACACTGGGCTGTTACAATGACAGGCGATATAAATAATCCAATTACTAGTTAATAACTGGCATTATTGCCATTGTAGAACTTTAATTTTTTATAAGAGGTTAGAGGTAAAATGAAACTTCTTTTTCCACAGCTTGCTTGAATTGTCTGTGAGTTTTGTTTTATAGCTTCACCAGTACAAGTTGTGAATATGGAAACATTCCCTGTAACATATACCAAAACCAAACTGTTCCCATGTTTGTCAAAGAGGACAGATGGTAAAAGTATGGGTGGGTGAAGGGAAACAAGAAGATTCAGGTATGCACAGAACTGATGTTTTTGATCAGTCTTGATCTTGGGTTAAGAATATCTAAAATTATTTCTTTCCTAAGCAAAAGTTCAAATACCGTGTTGGAATGTTCTTTCCCAATAAACAGTTGAGTTGTGGCTTCTTCAGCTACTGATGTATAATAAAGAAAAATCATCCCAAATTAAAAATTTGGAAGAAGCAGTTTCCTCATATGCATTTCTCTTCAGGTGAGGACAAAAGCCTGCTTAAAGGCCTATGTGGGTATCTTTTCAACATTCAGTATGACAGTGTGTAATATAACTAAATACTTCGGCAGAACTGTACTTCGTAACTGGCAGCATAGCTATTGCTTTAGTCAGTGTGTTAAATGTGAAGATGACTAAGGGTGTAGTATTCATTACTGCTTTAAGCTCATGTGGTGTGGATGCTCCCCTTCCTCCATGCAAGCACGTGTCTTGCTTCCTTCTTGTATTGGCATTAATGCTTGTGATAACTCTGAACAAGGGGGAATGGGGGCTGATCCGGTGGAACGTAGCTCACTATCAGAAACCTTTCAGGCTGAGTAGCTCTCCAGGAAGGGTGGCCACACAAGAACTAGTGTCAGCTTGAGGAACAGAGATGAGAATTGGAGGTTTTTTTGGTGATAACTTGAGTGTCTGTGAGATAAAGCAAATGATCAGATAGCAGTCCTTGTTAATTCTTACATTCCAGATAGCTTCAAAATGCTGAATTCAGGGAGCGTTGTGGTAAATCACCTTTTAATAAGGCTGGTACCTAATGAACTTTTACTTACTCCTTCAGTTCTTCTACACAAAATATGCAAGAGAATATTGAATTGTTACAGCATTGTGACCTCTGTATAAGTCCCTGTTCCGTTGTGGAGTGGAGTAGGTGCTGCATGATGACCTGTTGGTGCAGTTGCTGCTCTTGCATAGCTGATCAGGCTGTTAAGAATCTGTGTACATTAGTCTATTCTCATTAGCTGCTGAATGATAACTGATTTTTGCAGCAGCTAATTTTGATGTGTGCTTATGGGTTACTTCAAATTGTGGTTACCAAAGAGCAGCTGGTATTGGCAGTTGATGAGCAGTTGGTGGCTGCTCATGAGCAGCAGTTATCCCAGGCTGCTGCTGCAAAATGCAGGAAACCATTCAGTATCTGCTCTTTACTCTCTCACCACCCGAATATTTGCTAGGCACTGACAGCCAGCTGATGCTGAGTAACTGTGGTTTTGCAGTTATTAACCCATGTGACTCTTTATCCTGTGATACATCTTCCTCTTTTTCTCACAGGTCTGCATTCCCTCTTTCTAAAACATACTCATCCCTTCTAAATGCATTTTGTTTCCACTTGGAAAACAGGATTCCAGTTCTGTAATGGTCCTTCAGGCTCTCCACCTTGCAAGGAGGCAGAACCGGGTTTTGAAAGCTGCTGCCTGACCAGTGAGCACCCGTTGACCTCTTTGCAGTCAGGTTGCAGGGGAGGCAGAGAGGCAGTGGTGCTTCTGGTCCTTGACATTTTGTGTATGTAGAAGCGTGTTTGTATTGTGCCATGTGAGAGTTGTGAGGTTGTAGCTGCAATAATGCACCAAAGGATATCACAGATACTTTTTCTGGTGTTCTGATTATTGTTTATGATAAGTATCCTTACTAGGAGTTCAGAATTCAAAACTGAATGATTTTCAAATCATTGTCACATTCAGACTTTATTTTTTTAAGAATAGAAACCCACTAACTGCAGGGTAAATTTGAGAAGGTACTTTTAGCTTAGCTTTGACTTTAAGGGAGTGGTTAGGACTTATTTAAGTGGAGTACAGCCAAAAAAAACTTGAAATCTTTACAGAATTGATTTCATCACTCCCTCTAGATGTTACTGTTCAAAGTTGAAATAAATTGGTTTACCTTTGGAAACAATGGCCATTGTAGTTGCATTTAGTAGATTAAAAAAATTTAAATAAAGCTTTTATAGAACAGTTTTCATTAATTTTCCTCTATCGCTATTTAATCAAGGCTCAAGACAAATATTTTCAGTAACAATTTCTTATGTCTGTCACTACTGCTTAAGCTGAAATGCTAGGTTTCTATTTTTCTATCTCTGGAAAGTAACTTGATAATAAGCAAAATACTGACTTGCAACAAAGCAAGCAGAACTTTCTGACTTCTATAAATGTGAAACAGTGGAAATAGTTGACCCTCTGTTCTAATCAGCCACACCAGATGGTTTTCTTTTCTTTTTGTCTCTGAAGTAAGAAGCTTGAGTATCTTAAAGCAATATGTGAGCAGAACCTCTGTGAACGTGCAGGCCGGCTGCCTTACTGCAGGCTAGTCTGCATTGCTTTGGCTGTGCTTACTCCCCTTGTGCAGAAGAAAAGCAATCACAAGGAGATCTTCTGCAGAGCATTTAGATGAGTTCTGACTTGTCTCTGTGCTCTAAGTATCCAGCACTGCTCAACCACATGTTATTTTACCAAGCTTGTAATAGTAATGAAGTAAATGTGTTTTCTTTGGGTGTGCACTTCCCACATGAAATAAAAATTAAGTTGAAGATGTCCCTGCTCATTTCAGGGGGATTGGACTAGATGATCTTTGAAGGTCCCTTCCAACCCAAACTGTTCTATGATTCTATAATAAGTGTATTTAGGAATTTGTAGTAAGTGTCTAATATTCTTCATCTATGTCCTGCTGTCTTAGTAATCCAAGGAAGAAATTTTAAGGCTGATGACTAGGTTTCCATCAAAATACTTGCTAGGTTGTGGTTTTTTGCGTCATAAATTGAAACGGTAGATGAGCATTGCCTTTACGGACTTCACTGCCTGTTCTTAATATTTCATAATGTGCCATTATATGAGCTGTTCAGTGTATCTTGTTTCTGACATCCAGTTCCTTGAACTTCAAAACCCCAGTGCTTATTTCAGTTGTTTTTTATTTCAAAAGGTTTGGATTCTTCATTGCTTCTGAAAAGAGTATTTCACATCTTGAATTAGCTTTAGTTTGTTAGTTCACAAATTTATTGTGATGTGCTGCAGAAGTAGCTCAGTCATTAAATCAGTGGCTTGAGGAAAACAGTTTGGAACTGTGATAGTTTTCTCACCTGAAACATTTGCAAGCAGTAGCATTTCTCATATTGGCTGCAGGGTACCTACGGTCCTCCTTATGTATCTTTAATTGAAATCTTTTTTTTGGCTTGTGACTGGTTTCTTGATCTCTTCAGACTAAAGCAAGAGAACTTGACAGGTTCAACTGTTACATGTGAAGAACTGGAGAAGAATGTTTGCTTGAAATGCTGATTTTTCTCTCATTCCAGTTATTCTGGATGAATGTCACATACTTTGGATGTTGGTTTTGAAGATTCACAGGTATTTATTAAAGTGGAGTCTAAAGATGTATAAGTAATGTATAAGTAGAGTCACTTACAAGACTATGAATGACTTAATTAGCTAAATAAGGCTTTCCAGGTGATTAGCATTTATTTATGGTTCTGCTTTTATTTTGTTCCTGTTCTAATTGACTTCATTATAGCAGGAAATTTTCCATGTTCCCTTGTCATGAGGTGCTTCTGCTTTTGTTTGCATTGCTTACTGTTTTTTCAGTCTCCTGTCTATCTTGATAGCTTGTTCTTTTTTCCCTAAGTGTTTGAGGAGGTTAAAATCTGCAAGCTCTGTAAAAAGAAATACAGGCCTTCAGTAAAAAGAGCAGAAATCATAGGATTTGGGCTTTAGCTCATGTGATGTACTTCAGTGTTAAAAGGATTTTGCTTTTGAAGACTTTCTGCAGATTGAGAGGTTTTGGGGATTTTTTGGGGGTGTTGGG